ATTAATAGCTTACCTAACTATAATAAAAAAAACATTTAACTATATAATAGCAATTTTATGATAAACTAATCATTCTTTACATTCATATAAAATATTTTAAAGAACAGAAATTGATTTACTAACTTAATATTAACGTAATTTATGGGAAAGCGGTAGGAGCAATCGTCCCTCCCCCCAAAATAAGTATGTACTTATTTACTTGCCTTGGATTATAGGTTATATATAATATTAATAATTAATATAATATTAAACATGTGTTAATAAATATTGATGAGAATCAACAAATAATCAGGAAAACGTAACTTTCTCTATTTTTAGTATTTAATTAGAAGTTTAGAACACTGTTCAATTATAGACAAACATAGTCTTCAAACTCTGTACATTTTTTTATATATGTTTGAAGCAATTTGTTAATAATATTTTTAGAACCAAGGAGAGACTAGATAAAGCATTAAATACAATGAATACATAAAAATACATGCATTTTGTCGCACAACCGTAAAAGGGTTAGTAAAATGCTGATTTATCATTCTTTTTTGATTCTTAAGCCATCGTTATTCCAAATAAGAAATGAAATATTGGAATTGCTTTTGACTTAGAGAGTTAATTTGAATTTGTATTTCACGTGTATACGTTTAAATTGGCATACAAATATATAATTTCTGACTTTAAAATTATATTTTGATTGTATTTATCATTCATAAATATATAGTAATTAACATATATATCTTACTACACTTAAATTTTAAATACTTTTAAACTAATTACAGAGTTTTATTAGAAAATTTCTTTTTAAATAATTTCTATAAAATAGTTGCACGGTGAAAATATTTAGTAATACTATGATTCCTAGAACTTCAGACAATTGTAATTTTATTAAGTACATGTTATTGTTAGTAAAACGGAAATCGAAGTAGAACTGTGGTTATTGATTAATCTGTTTGGTCAATAAGTGAAACATCATATAAGTACTGATAATATATATTATACACATCATTTAAATTCAATTTCCATTAGACTCATCAAAAATAAATTTAAATGCCATTAAAAAAACATACGTACCTAACCACATCTACTAATAACAATAATAACTACGCATCATATCTACGCGTTAAACAATTTTATAATTGTAAAAATAATAAAATTAGAATGTATTTTTTATTTTCCAAGAACCGTTTTGACGTTTGAAGTATAATGTTCTCACGTTTTTTTATGTATTGTAATCGTCGAGAATTATGATTTATTCTCCCTCCGTGTCGCAGTATAGTAATGATAATAATAATAATAATAATAATGATATTAATAATAACGATACTAATATTAACAATAATTGTAATTACAATACGAGATGTTTATTTATTATCGATACTACGTTGGAGTGACATAAACGTGACAAGGTGGTTGCGGTGAAGACGGACGGTTGGCCTGAACGAGGGACTGGGGGTGGTCCACCGGTGGACAAAAAAGATTAATACCACATAACACGGTAATATTATATTTGTCGTACACATCGCACGGACATAATGTGTTGTACTAAGCACTTCATTGTCTACGGCGGCGGTCGCGATTCGACGACCACCGCGTAGCATTCGAATCGGACGTATCCGCCGATAATAACGCGAGTCTCCGAAGTTTCTCACATAATATTATTTTTATTATTATATGCATACCGTACACACGATAATAATATTATACACACCGACGAACCGTCACCGAAGCACAGAGGTTATTATAAACATTACGAAACGGCGGCGGTGGTGGTGGCGGTCTCTTTGGTGGTCAGACGAATCACATTCATTATTACCAGGCGGCCGGTGCCGGTGATTATCGTCGTTGGGTTTACGTAGCCGCCGCCGCTGCGGTAGGAGATCCACCTAATTGAATGTACTATGTTATATTTATTATATTCATATATAATTTATATATATATATATATATATA